GAAAAGATGACTGACTAAACATATACGTCTTAGATGACCATGAGAACATTCTGTGTTCCTCCCATAAATTCGTTATTTAAACGCTACATCTCGTTTTCTTTCAGGAGAGAATTTTGAAGACATGCCTACAGCTTGCATACTTGCGGAAGCAAAATTGGGCCCCAAGATTTTGTGTACAGATCCTGTAAAACATTATAAAAACCCACACTTTGATCAAGAACTTGCATGGGCCCTTGATAGAAGGAGCCTCCGACTCTTTCGCTTGTATCGTCGTTCCATAAGGCTTAAGTTTTACACTCTTCATGGAAATAAATGTTCCCGTAAAAAGGACCCACTTGGTTACATCGTTTTGGATCCGAGAGAAGCCACTCAACGAAAAATGTATAGATGGCGCCAACTTTTGGACAACAAAGAGCGGCTTCATCCAATGGTATGCTGCGGCCTTTATATCGAATCCTACTTAAATTGATTTCTTTAATTTGAATATTTTTTGTTGTATTCGAATTTTTCTTATTAAGTGTTTGGGCCCTTGGTCGCTGTGGCGATGTTGATGGAAACATGTCATGCATTAAATCAGTGTACACTTGTAAATATCGTCGAAAGTAATATTTGTGAAGTTGTATAACGAGCACGCAGATTGGAACCGTGAATAGCACTTTAAACACGACTTATAATATTAGAATTTATATTGTGGGCCATGAAAATGTCATGATGCTGTGGTTCTATGGCTATGACCCAATAATTTCGCTCTGGCATGAAGCAAATCTCGGTACAAATTGAAATGCAAGCTCAGCTTTATCCATCTACGTGACTTGGGTTTAATCGCCCATGTATCGTCAAGATAGGGACAGAAGTCACTACCTTCTTTAGAAATGCTGCGAAAAATATTCATTAGGTTTAATTTAAATGTATATGGGAATGAATGATAAATGGGAGCTCAAATGTGTGCTGTGAAGTTTAACCACGACATATATTAAGGATGGAAGTACTCCAGGTTTTTATCGCCCTCCATTACATACCCACTCGGCTTGGATATGTGGTAAGTTCTCCGTTTACTCCTTCGCCCCCAGTCTTCATTTCGGTACGTATCTTCTTTATTGATAGAAGTATGAACGGGGTGCAGCGGTTAGGGTTGCGCACGTTCAGAGTATACTTCTCCCTCAGAGGTGAATGACCTCCGTGTCGTCACAAGATTCGTGTTCACTGAACGTTCTCGCCCAAGAAAGTCATTCATACGTTGCTCCCTCGTCTTTTGAACACCATCCACGGCCCTCTTCCCATCTGTGTTCTTTGCATATGCCATCAGCACCGGTCTTTTTCCTCCGTTAGTAAGTAAACTTCATCTTCGTACCCGACAAGTGGTGTATCTTTGTTGTGATGAAGGGTGATTGGTTAAGTACGGACTTTTGCATTACAAACGTGGTGGTTTGTTGATGAAATGATTTTCATCGCTTGGAATGCATCTTTCTTCCACTGGTAAAGGAACTTCCCCTGCACCTTAGGCAGCCGACCGGTTCTCTTTAGCTATGCTACATCTTCCTCTCGATAGACGTTAGTCTGCCTGTTTATCGTAACACTTATTCTACCTGGTATATGGCAGTAGTAGGCGTCTAGGTGTGACGCTGAAAGTTTGTCTTTTTCCTTCTTTTACTCACAGCGCGCACTCTGAGACATATTTGGTTGCTACTTTCGCGTTTGGTAAAATAATATCGAAAGGTTCTTTCAGTTTACTTTCGTTGAGCATAGTGGAGGGTGAAACATCGGTTGAGGTTTGGATCGTACCCCTGTACGCTAGGAAGAATCGTTCTAGATTTAAATCTCAGACTTCCGATTGCGCTTCCATAGTGGAAACCTTCATAGAGCTATTTGTACTCTCCACCTGTCCATTGCCTCACGGATGTCAATGGGTTTTGCGCCTTGGGAATCTCAAAGGTCTTGCATGGTTCAGTAAAGTGTCGGCTTTCAAAATAAGCGTCTTGATCACTGTGCGCCGTTTCGGCCACTTCGTGTTGACAAACACAGTGACTGAAGAAAGGTGGAGCAATCGTTTCAGTGCCTTGTACCTTCATGCGTTCTGCCTGGGCTACTTTTTGAGGTAGTCTATTATAACCAGAATGGATCAGTCTCTAATCTTGGTGGGCGTCAAAGGATCCATGATGTTAATACCTACGCTTTCTCTTGGTAACTCTTTGGACAGTCGCTGTGCGATGGGGCCTTTTGAAGCTGCTGCAGGTGATACAGATTCAGCAGAAATCAATTACGTCTGGGGAGAATGAAGGTCACCAGTGTCTTATGCTCGGGGCATTAGATATATTTTCGTCCGCGTGGCTTAGGTGTTCGTACAACTCTTGGGGAACTGTTTGTAACAATGATCCTGGGACTACTGGGCGTTTGGGGTACCGAACACCATCCCGGAACCGTAAAAACCCATCCTCTAGGGAGAGTTCCGACTACTCCCGCCATATCTGTCTGACTGTTTCGATCGATAACGTTACCTGTTTTTCTGTAGGTTTATGGAAAAACGTAGGGGACCTCTCATACACCAGATTCGTGTCAGAATCAATACTTCGCGCATTCTCCCAGCGATGCTTAGCACGCTCGCTCAAGAATATGTTAACCACTGGCACTACCTGTATCTGCCACGATTGGTCAAAAGGTCAGAGCATCTGAATTGCTAAAGGTATTTCCTTTTCTACACTGTACTGTTCAGTGGTGCTGCAGTTTCTCGTAACAGCGTGCTAATGGACGGTCTATCTACTTCATTATTTTAATCGATTAATCCCCTAACGATTCTTTTTCACTACAAACCTCGCGTTATCAGGTAATACCTCAAATGTGTAACCATTGTGGAGATAGCGAACAGCCTATGTGGCGTTGCAATTTTCTGTCACTTTTGGTTGAGTCTCGTACTCGCGTAGACAATGAAGCGTACCTTACCTGTTCGTACAATTATGCAAGTAAACCGCGCAGGACTGCACTACTAGCGTCGGGACGCAGGATGAATGGTGGAGCACTTGGTAAGAAATTTGGTAAAGCTAGAATGGCTGCGGAGTAAAGTGTTCAATTAAATGCCTTAAACAATCAATCGCAGTCTGCCTTAACTAGAATACATTGCAAGTTCCATTACACCTAAAGCAAAGATGCGTTGCAGATAAT